CACAACCACACACCCACACACAGAGAGAGAGAGAGAGAGAGAGAGAGAGAGAGAGAGAGAGAGAGAGTGCAGGGGGAGCTGTTCTGAGAAGGCAAGTTAGAATCCTAAATTAAGAATGAAAGACAGGCATTTTCAGCTTATTTTAAAATAAATCACACAATGAATGTGAGAGCTTTGCTGATTTTACATGTCTTATACAAGGCTGCAAAGACACAATATGGTTTAAACCATAGTGGCATTTTCCTCCTGTAAATGTACTAACCTGCTTGTAGTTTACAAGCCAGACTTGGTTCATTGCCTGACTCATTTGATAAGCAACACTCTCAAGGGGCATCACAAATGTGCTTGTTCATTTGCACTGTCCTCACCTTGGGAACTTGTCAGGGTGGTAAAGGATGACATTGACAGGCACTTACAGAAATGGTTGGGACAGCAAGGAGATCAAATCACAAAGGTATTTTAAAGCCATCTGCAAGGACTGGCTCTGCTGACCTCGATCATTCTGCTACTACAGGAGGGAAAATTAGATTTAATCATGACTCCTAGTCTTTCATTTTAGTAGGTCAGTAGGGGACGGAATACCACAAGGATTGAAAATTCATCCAAGCAAGAGGAATCGCCTTCTACCCAAGCATTACCAAAAGATAGGAATCTGTAGCCTTTATAACTAATCTGGTATAGGTTCACAAAGGGCCCAGAGAACATTGATTTAATCATGGATGTGATGTTCCCCTCAATACAAGAACATTTTGTGAAACCTAAAGGTGTTTGATGCTGAGTATTATTGAGCAAAATGCAGTATCAGCAACTCATGACTTCAAAGCCAATAGGCCAACACCACCACCATTTTTCAACAACCACAATGGTTGGGCATGCCTTGCTTTCAACTCAGGAAGTTCCCGATAATCCTTCCAAACAAGTCAGGGCAGTCTAGTTCCCTTAAGACCTAAAAGATATTTAAAGTCTAATGTGTTGATGAATGGAGTCCTAAGAGAAGCCTTACCTGGCAATAATAGCATATTCATTGAACTCCATGAAGAACAATGTGTATCAAATTCACCAAATTTCCACCAGGATAAATCTTGGATCCAGAAAATGGAAGGGCTGTGGTCCAATTAGTGAAATTCCCACCAAAAGGGACCCATATGCTTTGTGAATGGTTTCCCAGCCTCCCTCAGTCGCACTCCATGCATTGAATGTTCAAGATCATTTAGTTAGTACTGTTGATTCCATCGTGGAAAATATTTATTTGCAATACCCTGTCTCTCCCTGATATTTGACATCTATATTCACAACTGACTGAATAAAGGGACATAATATGAATGTATGATAGAAAAGCTATAGGTCCAGGCAAAATAAGTAAGATACCAAGGCTGAAATGCTTTCTGATCTGTTTGCTGGTTCTGAGTCCAGAGTAATTTATAAAATTCTCTAAGTTTTTGTTACCCTGTATTTTAAGCCACATCAGACATAGTTACCTCAAAAGGCAAACATCTTTTCTTAAGGATGTGTCTGGATATAAGAACTATGGTACTAGCCAAAGCTACATGAAGCAATTTGTTTGCCTCAATTGCATATCCAGCCTCATTATCGAAAATATATGAGGCAACCTACAACAAAGCTAAACAATAAAATTCGCTAACAACCACAAAAGACCTTCTGTCACAAATCTTAGGCTAACCTCAGAGATGCCCATCCACCTCACAGGTAGCATGGTAGGTCTCAGTGAGTTATGGCAGGGGAAGCTGTGCCAAGTCTGCCTCAGCCCTTTCCATTCCCTCTCTTTCTCCTGCCTTTCATCAGTTCCCTTCTCCTCCCTCTTCTTTCTTTGAAATTCTTTTTTATTTTTTTATGTGGTAAATTTTGCCAAGGTATATAGTCTGGTCTGGGGCTCTGCTATCTTCCTGCCTCAGCTTCCCTAGTGTTTGGTAATAAGGTTGCATATCATTGAGCCCAGCCTCTTGTTAAACTGGTTGGGTTCACTTCTCTGATATTAGGGTTACAGCATAAACCAACTCTTCCCATGAGCCTCGGCAGGTCCACTAGCCTTGTTCTGGGATACAGAATCCAGGTACGAATAAGAAGATGGAACATCTATCAGTGCAAGAGTCCCTTTCATTGATTCTATTTCTCAACCCTGCTCAGGTGCCATTTATCATTCCTTTCAACCTTTTTAGCTGAAGAATTCAAATTAGAAGGAGCTTCAGAACCATGGAAAGATAATATCCATATTTCTCATTGTAGTTGAAATCTGATTAATGTGTTAAGTTTTTGTTTATCACTCAATTTCACTCCTTTAAAGGATTTGGGTGACAGTAGAAAGAGCAGACAGGCTTTTGGTAAAACAAGCCTATATGATCACATGACTTTGGAAATCAGGGCTCCTGATAGTCTTGGTTTCATTTTTCTCATTGTTTAGTGATATCTTCTGATTAAAGTGTAAATTGCTCTTAATACTTTAAAATAGTTCATTTTTACTATCATATATTCATTATGCATATTAGTTGGGTTAAATGTGATATGTCATCTATTGCTACAGCATGTAGAGACCCCATCATACAGACATCATGACCAATCTACAGCCACACAGCACTGTGTTGGCAAATGCTTGCTCTTACTAGAATCCATTTCTGCAAACTGAGAAAGCCAATTCTTTGCTCACTCTAATTGGATTCACAAAAAGTAAACAGACCCTGAGGAAGGCCTGAGAAGTTTCCTAATGAGAAAATTTGTGAGTTTAGGGTCTGGACTTGCAAAATCCTGTTGGATTGCAATTTTTAGTGAATTCTATTTTCTCTGATAACATTATAAATAAGCAAGGATACTCAATCATGCATATAGAGTGCATCACTCTAGGCCCATAATTCAGCTGGTAGATGGCTCAAGATGGAAGTATGAAATGGGCTTGGATGCTAATCCTATTTCAGAATGCATTTTAGAGAATATAACATAAATCAAAATGGATGCTTTACAGAAATAAAGGAAGGAAAACCAGAAAAGTTACAGTTGGGTTATCTACATGGTAATTACTTATCTGCATTTCACAGGCCTTCAAAATGCAAGCAAATATCTTAAGTTATTCTTTAAATTGGCAACCAAACAAGTCATTCAGAGATAAGACAGAGGGAACTATGGGACACAATGTTTCCCTTCCCAGCTTCTGTGAAAACACACACAATAGGACAGTCTTTTCAACACTCTACCGAGCAGATTATCTGTGGTCTGCCTACTGCATGCCACTTAGACCATCCATGGAAAATATTAAAAGAGAATTTACACCAGCACTCCTTACTTCTGTAATTACTCAGCTCATGGAAAGACTAATTCTATTCAATAACTTCCATTTGGATATAGGGAGAGAAAGTTTCACAAATACATATTTCTGTTATATCCAGTAAGCAAATTGATATTAGTAATCTTTAGATAGTTTATTAGGTTGAAATAGTAGAGATAGTGTCATTAATGAAAGTATTTCATTATATTTCCAGTAAGACATGGCCTTGAAGAGACAAGAAAACTGAAAGGACTAAAACAAACCTCAGAGCATCCTCAAGATGTTCTATATAATATCTAAAGTCCCTTCTATGCCCTTGGGCTGGCTCATATTTATATTGCCAAATCAATGGCACTTGGGATCATTTTGGAAACAAATCTTTTGGTATGCCTGTGAGGGATTATATAGGCTTAATTGGTAAGGCTTGGAGACATCCTTAATGTGGGTGTGACAACAATATGTGATAGGGTCTCAGACTGATTAAAGGGGCAAAGCAAGGTGAGCACCGGGACTCAGCACCCTCTGCATCTCCACAGGGGGTGTAATGTGACTAACTGTCTCCTGCTCCTGCCACCATAAGTTCTCCATCATTATTGATAGCATCGCTGGAAACACAAAAGAAGATAAACTCTCCCTTCTTTCTTAATTTGCTTCCATTTTGTCCTTTTTTCCAAACAACACAAGTATTAAAAAAAAAAACTCTCTTATGCCAGGTAGTAAATAGGTCAAGAAAGTGGTACTGGACTGAATATATCTATTTTATTTTGCATCCTAATGAATTTGTTACAATACTTTAAAAGTAACTGACAGTTGTGTATTGAAAAAAATTAACAGCCTTTCTTGACTACTGTACACAAATGATATTCATAATACATATACATCAAACCACCAGAAAGTAATTGTATGAATGGACATGAATTGGACAAAGCTAGAATTCATCATGACTGTTTCTATTTAAAAGGTTCTCGTTATGTACTTTATATGTGTTAAAGTATGCACATGCTTCTCCCCCCCCCCCCCTCTCCCTCTCC